ATCAAATGCTGTATACATTTGTAACCTTTCTCTGCTCTTCAAAGCTATGCCACTATTTCCTCAAATCAGTTTTTCTGACTTCTCTGGAATGGATTTTTGTTTGACAAAAAACAGCTTTTTTGACTCCAATGGCTTTGCTTTTGGACGTGGTCAAAGAACATTCTGCGACCGAGCTAATATTGTATTTATAGAAAAGATGCTATATTCTGTAGTACTAACTAAGTTCTGATCTTGAAAATACTGGTAGTCCATCCGAGTTTGAGGGACGTCATTAAGGGGAGTCAAACAAGCTTTCTATTCTTCAGACTTCGCCCTAAAAGAATTGTCATCATGACCATATTCCAACCATAGGGAAGATATATTTTAACAGCGTTCTTTGACAATTGGCTAGAGGTTTTCTAGTAGGTTCGCTAGGCTTCCTCGAAAAGTCTGCCCGATCCTAGTAAAATGGCGTCAACAGATTTTTTTTTTGGAAGAATGTAAAGAAGCTCCAAGCAATGACGAGCAAACACTGCAATTTTGTTTGAGCATACTCTTACATTTTTTGACGTTCTGTTACCATTTCAAATAAAAATGTTTTTCACAGACTGCAGAAAGTCATGCAGTTTATAAAAGTACCTGACTATTGCAATTTTTTTCCAGACAGTTCATTTTGCTCAAAAGTGAGACAACGAATGGCTTAGGAGTATGATAAACATGGTTAGGCATGAATAGAACTTTTACTATTTACAAAGTCCGTCTAGATATAATAATTTGCTGAGAAATTAGAGTTAGAAAAAAAAACCACGTGAAATTATGTAGCAACCTTTTTCCAAAACTGGGTCTATTTTGGACTTTTCTTGGTAAAATCAAAGTAAAAATTGTATTTTCACAGCTCTTCCATACCAATAATTTTGAGATAATGCAGCTTTGAGGAGTCATTCCTGCGCATAGCACTTGGCTTACCTGGCCGACCTTCTGCATCTGATCCTCGAAGGAAGAGTATCTCAACCGAACGCACTTTCACACCAACGTCGGATCGAGATGCCCTTCTTGAGATGTTAAAGCATGTCTGTGAAATGTTGGCTGAAGATATGCCTAAAGCAGGCGTTGTGGGTTCGTTAGCTTAGTGCTATGAAACCATAGCACTGATCAGTTCATCGCATGAATTTTTGACTTTTAGGAGGACGATGTGTTACTTTGAAAATTAAATTGTCTTCATTTGACGTGCTGACTCGTTCCGTAACGCCTGGGCGATTGGTTTCCACGGAAGAAGGTGGGATAGTTGAATTATAGAATGCATTTCTAATTTCATGAAGATTTCGCTATGTCCAACATCTGGGAGGATCATAAGAGGTAATGCGACGAAATAATGTGTCTTCTTGCATTCATGTTAGGTTTTTTCCCATCAGTTTATGTTTTGACATTAAAATCTAGCGAAAACTTTGGAAGGCTTTGAATGGGCATTCAGGCATGGCAAGAACTGTGTAATACCGAGCACGAAATATCTGCTTGAGCTGGTTGATGATCGCCTGACATCCCAGTTGTCAAATTTATTTTGTTTGAGTACAATAGCTGTAATGGAATCCAGTATTCATAGAGTTGTTTTGATTTCGAACTCTATTGAAACATATTAGGATGCAAATTGTTCTCTTAGTTTTAAGGATTTTTTTTGAAGAAGGAAACTGTCGATTATAACGTATCATTCTTACTCTTTTTCGCGACTTGTACAGTTTACTGACAGTCAAGTTAATCATAGAATACGTGTTCAACAATTCTCCTTTAATTTCGACTCTTTTCTTCAGATATACTAGCGATAGCTAGCGAGACACTAGACCGTGAATTACCTAACGAGATTCGTCTGTTGGGTATACGTCTGAGTAATTTACAGTTCACTGATGATCGGCATTCTGATAGCACTATATCGGTGAGTGGTGCATCTAAGCCCTGTCAGACATAGGTTAGATACATAGAGCCATGACTCTGGTCACCTTCACTAATGAGCTAAAAAAAGAGTAGGATCCTCACCTAATAGAGTTTGAGTAAGTCGATGTTCGGGGCGGAGCCCCGAACATCGACTTATTTACACCTAAAAGTTTGAAGATCGAGAACTATATGACTAGTAGAGGGAGGAAATTTTCACTTTATTGTTGACAAAATAAGAATAAGATGTCGTAGTGCATAAGAACTATGGGTGCAATGATGAGGTCCATGAAAAATTAAAAGGTATAGTTTTGAAGGTAGAAGTTGACGTTGAAAAATCCACAAAAAGTGAAGAGTAAGTGCTGAATTTGCTCTATAACTATTTCTTTCAAAACAATTGATGTGAAACTTCGAAAAGCATGCATCGTTGGAAGTAATCGTTATTATGATTAGGAATTGAACTCTATAAGTATGTACATCAAATAGCCTTGAGTAGTGAAAGTCAAGAGAATATAGAGAATAACTCGTTATGGTGGAAATTATGAAAGTTGCGCAGTTGT